TCACGTATCAGAATTTTGGAGGAATTATTTGCACCTTATTTGTACAACAGTTTTTCGTTAATTTTATTTAATAACGGTTTGAGAATTTTGATATTTGTGATAATTGGTCACTTTATTACCATTCACTTATGAGTTATTTTTACTGTCGTTGCATTGTATCCACGCAGAAGTTTATGTTTAGATTTATCAACACGAATTAGGTTTATACACCTTTTTATCACTTGATTAATTTGCTTTCTGATTGGCTGGGAGGCCGGCTCCATGCTCTCTTGTCATGAGATGACGAGGGAGCATGGAGCCAGCTTCCCGGCCAATCAGAAAGCAGGGCGTCGCATCATTAGACGACGCCTGGCTTCCTGATTGGACGGTTCGGGCTGGGTACAGGACGAAGGCCGCATTCTCGCTGGAGATGCCCCGGGGGATGACAGGCTACACATACTAAGGTAAGAGGGGACTTTTTTTGTTAATCGGGAAGCCGGGTGGCGTCTCTTTACACCCAATACTTGGGGCCCAATACTTTTGGCAATATATAGTGTATATTGTACAGGCAGAACAAAGAGTAAAGATGAAGTATCATTAGACTTCCCTTCTGCATATAGATCAGTGATAAATATATTTCAGTTGCTTACAATGGGTTCCTCCGTACCTTATCATATCTCCCAATGCAAGGGAAGGTAACCTTCGCGCTCCAACTGTTGTTAAACTACAAGCCCCCCTAAGGCATTTCAAGACTGACAGCCACAGGCTGGGATTTGTAGTTTCACCACAGCTGGAGTGCTGAGGTTGCCTACCCCTGTCCTAAACCATGAACGATATCATATATACATAGGACGTGGCTCTTTCAGTAGTCTTTCTGCCATTGTAGAAGATAATTAGGAGGATGCAAATCACAGCACATGACAAAAGAAATGAGTCACCACCCAGATTTGCATCCAACACCTCCGTGTCACACAGATATATATTCTGAAACAAAGTTCCATCAAAGTTGTTGAGGAATCACTTGCAGATCAGCATTATGGTCGATTATACTCTGCTGGGATTTAAACTCTTTGTATGCATCGGTTGTGGGCTGTTAGGGATCACCTCCAACTCATGGATAATAGGCATGAACATTAGAGATGTGAGAAGAGGCACCAGACTAAGCCCATGTGACCTAATTCTCAGCCTCATGGGTGCCACAAATGTTCTCTTGCAAAGCGTGTCGAGCATCGACATGGCAATGATACAAGCAAAGATCTATCAATCATTTGACCAATGTCACTTGACCTTCATCGGGGTGAACATACTCCTAATTTCCTGCAACCTCTGGTTCACCGTTTGGCTTTCCACCTACTACTGCCTGAAAATTGTCAACTTCTCCAGAGGAATCCTGTTATACCTGAAGCTGAGAATCTCCCATCTCCTGCCAAGGCTCCTGCTGATCTCTACCATGAAGTCATTGTTTGTGGCTTTGCCATCACACTGGAATATTCTAGTAGGAAACCAGATTATCTTCACCAACACAATGCTCAATTCCACGGAGGAGAAGGCTTACCTTGTAATAACACTTCCATATCTTTCTGCAGCATTGGTCGAATGTATTTCACCGCTTCTGTTAACTCTGGTCCCCATTGGAGTGACCCTGGCCTCCCTCTGGAGACACACCAGGAGGATGAAGACGCAGGGGAGAGACTCATGTCATCCGCATACGTCGGCACACATCAGGGCAGCCCGAGTCATGATCCTCTTGGTCACGTTACACACAGCATTTTGTGGTGCCTTACTTTCTTTTCTCTTCAGATCTTTTAATGTGGTGGAGAGCGCCATGCGCTTTTCTTGGTATTTTATCTTGTGCTATCCAATAGTTCAGTCCATTGTCATTGTAACAGGTAATGCAAAATTGTGGGGGGCCTGTAGAAACATTCTGCCTTGGACTGGTAGTAACACTGTTCACAAGAGTTGATGGGGTGCATTGAGGTGGATGAAAGGTTGGCTTTCTAGGCAGATAGTCAGTTAGTCAGTCAGTCAGTCAGTTTCTCTTACCAATACACATTAAAGGAGAACTATGAGGGGGAGGGGCTTTTCACTCATCCTCATAGTTCTAGCCGACCTGTGACAATGAGACTGTCACAGGTCGGCTCAGTAGATCGGGAGGTCAGCGAACACATACCGGCGTACGCTCACTTCTCGATCCTGTCACGGCTCTCTGCCATGACAGGGGAGGGACTATATTCCCCTCTCCGATCTGCCAGCGCTGACTGGCGGAACGGATAGGGGAGGGGGCGGGTACAGCTGGCTCTGCCTCTAGATAGGCAGAGCCAGCTGTCAATCCCGCAGCTGGGTGGATCCAGACAGTAATGTCCGGATCCGTCCCGGCTGTGGCGTCTCAGTATACCGCGAGTTGTAGCTCCCTATATACTGAGCTTAGGGTGACGGGAGGACGCTAGTTTGTGTCCTCCCGTTACCCTAAGGAGAACTATGGGGGAAACACTGACCCCATAGTTCTCCTTTAAGTCCTTGTATCTGTGTTCAGTAGGCCATCTCTGTAATACGTACCAAGCTTATCTCTGCACGCATTAAAGAGTGATATCCACCACATTCCACGATCTCCAGGTGACCACTAGAGGTACATTTTTAAATCTGCACCTACACATACATCAGTCACAATATGGAACAGCATTTAGAAAGCGTAAAAGTCACATCAAAAAATCATTTTCTAACGCATCCTTACCATTACATAAAGCTACTTATGTTAGCAGAGGCTGTCCTCGAAAGTTTGACAAAACCTGGTCAGTATGGATGGAGACCGACACTACACTAACCATTTAGGTAAACCATCATAGGAGTCAGCTCGTAGTTATTGAGTCCTACTAGGAGTGCCTCGCCTGCGGCTTCTGACCTCCCAGAGCAGCCTGATGAGCTGGGTGGATCCAGGCAGTATTGTCGGGATCTGTCCCGGCTTGCGACGTCTCAGTATATCGCGAGCTGTAGGGGGTCGAGTTCTCCTAAGGGTCACGCGAGAACACAAACTAGCATCCTCCCGTCACCAAAAGCTATATACTGAGCTTTGGGTGACGGGAGGACGCTAGTTTGTGTTCTCCCGTTACCCTTAGGAGAACTACAGGGAAAAGCCCTGACCCCATAGTTCTCCTTTAATCTTCTCCGAAGAAACAACTAGAAAGGTTTTATATACATATTTTGTTTTTTTCATTTATTCTTAGGTATGCTGTGTGAGTGGGAGCAACAAACACGCAGTGGAGTCTTCTAAATTTGGCTGTGAAGGTGGAAATATATTTTAAGGGACTGTCCTCAGCCAGTGGATGGGATGCGTTTTGGGCTGAAGATCCTGTGGCAAGCTTTCCAGAGTTTTGAATTGCCTGTTATTATTACAACAGATTGCATCATGGGGTAGAGCAAGACAAAATACCAAGAAAAGAGCATGCCGACCTCCAATACATTGAACGATTTGACGAAGAAAGAAAATACGACGCCATAAAAAGCCGTGTGCAGGGTGACCAGCAGGATCATGGTCCGGGCTGCCCTGACATGGGCTTGTGTCTGAGGGCGACATGATTCGGTCTCATTCTTCTTTATCCTCCTGGTGTGTCTCCAGAGAGAGGCCAGCGTCACTCCTATCGGTACCAAAGTGGTGGACGAGCTAAAGTGGCAAAAAATGGGGGGGGGGGGGGGGGAGTTTTGGAGTAAGTACTATTTTACATTGTTTACTTGATTCTTCTGGTTTATTGAATATCATGCTATACACCGGTTAGGAGAAATTCTAGGTTATCCATACACCGGCTCTTCTTAACGGGGTGCGGTTGGAAAGCGGAGCGGATCCCATTCATTTAGAGATCCTATATGTGTCTGAGGGGTGGTGAAGGTTCATGGTCGGAGAAATGTTAGTATTTTACTGTCTACTGTTAGATATATTAATCAGCATATGTTAGGCTGCACTGTATGCACTTGTTGTCTATTATCTGGGTGCTATGTTGGTGCATGTTAGACATGTGCGATTCGTTTCGTTCCGAATCGAAATTCGGACGAATTTTCGGAAATTCGGACATTCGGATGTATCCGAATTCCGAATTACAGATATAACGAATGCAAACGAATCCGAATTTCCGTTTCCGAAATTCGTTAGTGGTAGTTCGTTCGAACGTTCGTTTCGTTTTCGTTTCTTATTCGTTTCGTTCGAGCAAAGTAACATTAGAGAAGGAGAAAAACATTTTTTCCCCCTCAAATCACTTTGCTACAAACAAACGAACGCATGAACGAAACGAATAAGAAACAAACACGAAGCGAACGTTCGACCGAACTACCGCTAACTAATTTTGTCCGAATTCCGAATCAGAATTGACTTTCACACCCGAATCCCGAAAAATGAAATAACACAAATCCGAATCAAAACGAAACGAAACGATTTTTTTGGCAGTGCACATGTCTAGTGCTTGTCCTCCTGTTGCCGTTACCTGCTTGTCCTCCTGTTGCCATTACCTGCTTGTCCTCCTGTTGCCATTACCTGCTTGTCCTCCTGTTGCCGTTACCTGCTTGTCCTCCTGTTGCCATTACCTGCTTGTCCTCCTGTTGCCGTTACCTGTATTTAGCTATATTCTCCTGTTATATGTTATAGGTGTTGGGGGTTATATTTGGTTGGAGTCACGTTACTTTGTGCTGTTTACAAATAAACTGTATATAACACATTTTGCTTCGTCCGGTGTGGTCATACGTGTTTGGTCTTCCCGTGTGGGTACCTGCATACGGTGTGGGGTCACCTGTGCACGGACCCGTGACAGTGTCGTCTGATTTGACAACTAAGAAGAGCAAAATAATGATAAAAAATAATCATCATCATCGATCATTATGGGAGAGTGGAGCTGCAGGCTGTATCCATGTCAACAAACAATATACTGCAATAACAGAAGTAACTTGATGATCTAAATAATTTGCATTGGACTCTCCAGTCAACATTCCCATCCACAGATATAATGGGACCAGTAGATGAACACCGGCACATAGCAAACATGCTTCCTTTTAATGTCTACACGACGTTACTGGTCGGCTTTTCCACCATAGTCCTGGGGTGTGTTTTCAATTCATGGACTGTACATGTCAACCTTGTGGATTGGAGACGAGGCCTCCGCCTGAGCCCATCTGATCAAATTCTCAGTCTTATGGCTGCGATAAACATTCTGCTACAGATCGTGCTGAGCGTGGACATGTCTCTCCTACAACTCCTCCATGTTTACATGTTTGGTCAGTTTCACCGGCTATTCATCGTCCTTTCCATTTCTCTTGTCACCTGCAACCTTTGGGTCACCACTTGGCTCTGCACTTACTATTGCCTGAAGATCGTCAACTTTTCCAGAGGGATTCTGCTGGCTTTGAAGATGAGAAGTTCTGCCTTGGTACCGAAACTTTTAGTTGCATGTGTTATCCTGTCCTTCGGTATGACGATGGTCTCACACTGGAACATCTACATGAAATGCTACAAGGGGATCACTGGAAATTCAACAGGTGACCCCGCTGATTACATTTGTTACCTGGAGGTCCAAGAAGGTTATCGCATTGCTGCATTTGTAGCATTAATTCTGCCGCTCCTGTTGACTTTGGTACCGATAGGAGTGACGCTGGCCTCTCTCTGGAGACACACCAGGAGGATAAAGAAGAATGAGACCGAATCATGTCGCCCTCAGACACAAGCCCATGTCAGGGCAGCCCGGACCATGATCCTGCTGGTCACCCTGCACACGGCTTTTTATGGCGTCGTATTTTCTTTCTTCGTCAAATCGTTCAATGTATTGGAGGTCGGCATGCTCTTTTCTTGGTATTTTGTCTTGCTCTACCCCATGATGCAATCTGTTGTAATAATAACAGGCAATTCAAAACTCTGGAAAGCTTGCCACAGGATCTTCAGCCCAAAACGCATCCCATCCACTGGCTGAGGACAGTCCCTTAAAATATATTTCCACCTTCACAGCCAAATTTAGAAGACTCCACTGCGTGTTTGTTGCTCCCACTCACACAGCATACCTAAGAATAAATGAAAAAAACAAAATATGTATATAAAACCTTTCTAGTTGTTTCTTCGGAGAAGATTAAAGGAGAACTATGGGGTCAGGGCTTTTCCCTGTAGTTCTCCTAAGGGTAACGGGAGAACACAAACTAGCGTCCTCCCGTCACCCAAAGCTCAGTATATAGCTTTTGGTGACGGGAGGATGCTAGTTTGTGTTCTCGCGTGACCCTTAGGAGAACTCGACCCCCTACAGCTCGCGATATACTGAGACGTCGCAAGCCGGGACAGATCCCGACAATACTGCCTGGATCCACCCAGCTCATCAGGCTGCTCTGGGAGGTCAGAAGCCGCAGGCGAGGCACTCCTAGTAGGACTCAATAACTACGAGCTGACTCCTATGATGGTTTACCTAAATGGTTAGTGTAGTGTCGGTCTCCATCCATACTGACCAGGTTTTGTCAAATTTTCGAGGACACCCTCTGCTAACATAAGTAGCTTTATGTAATGTTAAGGATGCGTTACAAAATGATTTTTTAATGTGGCTTTTACGCTTTCTAAATGCTGTTCCATATTGTGACTGATGTATGTACAGTATAGGTGCAGACTTAAAAATGTACCTCTAGTGGTCACCTGGAGATCGTGGAATGTGGTGGATATCACTCTATAATGCGTGCAGAGATAAGCTCGGCAAGTATTACAGAGATGGCCTACTGGACACAGATACAAGGACTTAAAGGAGAACTATGGGGTCAGTGTTTTTCCCCATAGTTCTCCTTAGGGTAACGGGAGGACGCAAACTAGCGTCCTCCTGTCACCCAAAGCTCAGTATATAGGGAGCTACAACTCGCGGTATACTGAGACGCCGGGACGGATCCCGACAATACTGTCTGGATCCACCCAGAGGCAGAGCCAGCTGTACCCGCCCCTTCCCCCATCCGTTTCACCAGCCAGCGCTGGAGGATCAGAGCGGGGAGGGGGGGAATCCCTGCAGGGAGCCGTGAGTGACAGTCACCACTCTCTGTCGGGATAGATCGAGAAGTGAGCGAGCGCCGGTATGTGTTCCCTCACTTCCCGATCTACTGAGCCGACCTGTGACAGTCTCATTGTCACAGGTCAGCTCCAACTATGAGGATGAAAATCACTCGCCTCATAGTTCTCCTTTAAACACAGGACTCTATGGGCAGCTTGTGTACAGTTAATGTCTTTATTCAACCTCAAATACTATGTAACTATGTAACTATGTAAGAACTTGCAATGGGCTTCTGTAGGAACGCTTTAGGGACAGATTGGTTGAAAGTACGCTACCATACAATGACCCCCCCACCCCCAATCCTCGAGACCATTAACCCTTTGTTAGGACAGACAGTTTACAACTAGAGTATAGACAGGCTTCACTATGTCAAACATGAACTCCCCAAGAACCCTGAGGTCATGGACCGAACTGGACTCTGCTCTCTCCATATCCTGATAGGGTTCTTGGGGAGTTCCGGGCCTAGTACAGGATCCTGTTGCAAAAGTTCTTTTTAAGGATTATTTTGATGTGCCCATGCTGAGTGTTATATTTTGTTGGCGCCAATGCTTCCCCCATTTCCCCTATATAAAGGACTCTGCCCACTCCACACCTTAGGCTTGACAAAGGAGGTGAACCTCTGAACCGCGTTGCCTAGCAACACCTGACGACCCGGAAGTACTCAGCAGCGGTGACCCCCCGCCTTGAGGAGAGCCAGCCACTGGATCAGACCTGCGTCTTCCAGCACAGGCGTCCTGGAATCTTTCTGGACTGAACTGGACTCTGCTCTCTCCATATCCTGATAGCAATCTCGGACCAGCAGCTGAGATGGGACTTTCATCTGATGCGTGACGGGCGAGATGTTTTTTAATATCCTGGAAGTGCGTTACTTTTATCCTTATGAAACAGTCACTTTTATGCTGCACTCAGATCTGTGCGCTGGTTTCCTATGTTTTCTTAGCAAATATAAAGTGAGTGTTATCCCAATTTGACTGCAAAGGTGGAAATACACTTAAGACTACCTGATAAAGAGCTTATTGAAGAGTCTCTTGAAGGAACAACCCTCCACCCAATAGTACTTACCGTTGCTGCCCTCCCTCTTGGCTCCATTCCTCTAGGCATGGAATGAAACCTGATTAGGCGCCATATTATATGGTGTCTGAGCTAACACAGGGTTGATGACATCCTCCCCTCCTACAGGTGACAGTGTTCAGGTCCTTCCATTGGTGGCTTAAGCCCAAGCACTGCACCCTGGAAGGACGGGGAGAAGATTGCATGCTGGAAGTACCAGGTATTTCCTGAGAGCGTCAGGGGAGCACAGTAGGGGTGAATATAAGTGGGTGGCAGTGGGGTGAGTGTGCAGAGTGACAGGGTCTCTTTAAGGTCCAGTTTTTGTACCATTACCAATGACCTTACAGAAGAAACGTTCCACGCTCTGATTGTCTTCCTTTATTTCAGCATATAGGGTTCAGTCTTAGTTTGCACGGTGGTGTTACAATATGATGTCACCTTCCATTGTAAGTGTAAATAAACTAAACTGTTCGTGTTTTCATCAAACTTTTCATGTGTTTTTATTGTTAGCAGAACAAAAAAAAATCAAATCAAATCAGATAATGGATTTGCCTTTATCATGAAAATAAAGAGCGCACGTTGGATAAGAACATATAAAACATCAGAAATCTGCAGCAAATTCCCGCTTACATTGTAAATGTAATACATATGTCTAGGTGGACGCCAGCTGGTCCCAGCCGGAGGATCTGTACCAGTATAATACAGCAACGAGGGTTCATATACATAGTACAACACACTAATCACATATGACCAGGGGCGGACTGACCATACGGGCACATGGTATATGAGGATACTACTTTTGGTGCTTTCTGCATTATGCATTGTAGCGGGGCCTACAGGAGGACTGGAACTGGACATTGAAAGCCAGCAAGAAACCACTCCAGTCAAATATAGAAACCTTCAGTTTGCTCCAAATGTACAATCACTGAACAGGTTTTATATTTAATGTTAACTAGTTACTAGCAAGCTCCCTTAATATCTAATCTCTGTAGACTGCCCCAATGGTTTAGTTGCCCGGTTAGTAGCACACACTTCTACAAAGAGACTATTAACTGGTTCAAAAGTAGTGAGATATCACACAGAGGAAAACACACGTCAGCCCACATCTCATGCAAAAGAGATGTTCTTCTCCCAAGCATTAGGTAAATCTTTGTATCATGTGATCGTATTCTGGAATATCAGATAAGATAACGCTACTGAACGCCATTGGGGTGAATTGAAATGCCCGACCTCACAAATTCCCACAGACGCCCTACAAACTCCCTTGGAAAGCCTTCCTAGAAGATTGGAGGATGTTATAGCCACAAAGGCGGGGTTACTCCCTGACTTTGAAATGGGATGACCAACAAGCTCATATCGGGGTGAGGGTTAGCTATCCATTAACATTTGACCATCTGGAGTATATAATGGGGTACCTTATGCAGGGCCGGATTTCCCACAAGCCCAACCAAGGCCCGGCCTCGGGGCAGCAGGGAGTAGAGGGGCAGCAGGGGTGTGGAATTCCTATCTCTTGCAATGAGGAACCTGGCCTTAGGGCAGCAGAGAGAGTAAATCCGGCCCTGACCTTATGCGACAGTATATTACAGCAGGCCAAAATCCCGATTCCCGCCCTAACTCTCGGCTTCTAATGCTCTCCCTGCACAGAGTCTTCCTAGAAACATCTTACTCAGCCTGGAGCTAGACTGGATAATGATGGCGGCTTCCATTGTTGGAAAGAGGGCTATTACAGTCCAGCAGATATTTACCCAAGTATTGGTAAGGGATAAAGCATAGTACACAGTCATGTCAGATATGTAGAAGATGACAGACAGTAGGAGTAGGAAGATCATTGTTCTTATGGCGTTGACATGGGCCCGGACCTGCGTTGGAGAGAATCCCGAATCTTGTTGCTTTATATTCCGGACGTGTCTTAACAGAGACATCACTGTAGTCGTCAGGGAGATGGAACTGATCATAAATGGGAGGCAGAAGCCCAGGAACATGGAGATTAATAAGTGTGCGAGACTGAAAGGTTCAGGTGCCATATAACTGGTATGAAAGTTTGTGCTGTTATCTATAAAATACATTTGAGTCATTTGAGTCCAGATATTTGGGATGCATAGTGCAATGGAGGCAACTCCCGATAGTATGAGTGCAAGGGGCAGCCAAGAGGAGAGGGTCCTCCTAACCCAAATGAAGACTTGGTAGGTGGAATTGACAATGCTGATACAGTAGTAGGCACACAGCCAGGATATGAGCCAGTTGCTGATGTACATTTGGAACGGCAAAACAAATAACATTATGAGATATAATTCCGCAAACTGTAAATTGGGGCAAAACACCGCCGTGAACTGTACGAGCATCAAGCTACGCATGGTGATGTTAATGACCCCCATGATGAGCTGGATGACAGCCGATGGATTCCGCTTGGTCCCGTTGTTCAGGCTCTTCCCATTCAGAACTACGATGCAGAGATTTAAAGAGAGCGCCAGCGCACACTCCATGTAATAGACGACCATCAGGACGATCCATGGGGCAGCGTACATTTTCTGGGCTCAGCGTACTGCTCTCAGCTCTCCACAGCAGGAGTTCTGCACTCAGAGAGTCCCATTTATAGGTTGTCAGTCCCATAAATAGTCCGTGACTTGCACGTCTGTCTGCAAGGTGTATGCAAATGTACGGAGACGAGGTAAATAGGTTTCACAATGAATATCTCAATCGGAACCTTTACTGGATTCTATTTATCAATCCACCTTATATATTCCATTTCTCTTTCTTTATC